TGTGGGTGTGTGTTTGTGGTTGTGTGTTTGTGTTTGTGTGTTTGTGGTTGTGTGTTTGTGGTGTTGCGTTTGTGGTTTTGTGTTGTTGTGTTTGTGGTTGTGTTTGTGGCGTGTGTTTGTTGTTGTGGTTGTTTTTGTGTTTGTGTTCGTGGTTGTGTGTTTGTGGTTGTTGTGTTTGTAGTTGTTGTGTTTGTGGTTGTGTGTTTGTGGTTGTGTATTGGTGGTTGTGTGTTTGTGGTTGTGTGTTTGTTGTTGTGTTTGTGGTTGTGTGTTTGTGGTTGTATGTTTGTGGTTGTGTGTTTGTGGTTGTGTGTTTGTGGTTGTGTGGTTGTGGTTGTGTGTTTGTGGTTGTGTGTTTGTGGTTGCGTGTTTGTGGTTGTGTTTGCTTCCTCGCTCTTATTCCAGAGCTTCTGGCGCTGGGCCTGACAAATTGTATGTAGGGAATGTAGGGAGACAATCTTTGGGTTCTCCAAACTCATTCTAAGTTTCCCGGCCTCCAATGCCTCGCGCTGCTTCGTTGCAAGTTCCTCATGCTGTAAAGTACATGTCCACAATTGACATCAATTGACGCTGGCCATCCCGGCGCCGAAGATTATTATTGTGAGTTGTTGACGCTGAGACCCCCCGACGTCCAAATTGTCGTTGTGATCTGGCGGCGCCCGTCGAGCCTTCGGCACCGGCCGCTGCTGCCACTGTTGCCACTGTTGCAAGCATGCCTGGTGCTCCTGCCATGCCTGCTGCTGTCGCTGCCAGTCCTGCTGCTGCTGCTGCTGCTCTTTGATGCGTGCTGCTGCTGCTGCTGCTGCTGCGTCCTGGTTGTGTGTTTGTGATTGTGGTTGTGGTTGTGTGCTGTGGTTGAGGTCCGGCAGGGAACACTTGGAGCTTGCGGTTGAGGTCTGGCAGGGAACACTGGGCGCGGATGGTCGCGGTGAGGTCTGGTGGGGAACACTTGGGTCTGGAGCTCGCGGTTGAGGTCCGGCAGGGAACACTGGGCGCGGACCCGGACGGTCGCGGTTGAGGTCCGGCACGGAACACTGGGCGTGGATGGTCGCGGTTGAGGTCCGGTGGGGAACACTTGGGTCTGGAGCTCGCGGTCGAGGTCCGGCAGGGAACACTGGGCGTGGATGGTCGCGGTTGATTGTGAGGTCCGGCGGAGGAGGCGGAGGACGACGAGGCGGCGGAGGAGGCGGAGGCGGAGGAGGAGGAGATGGGGCTGACGTAAAATCTAACAACCCTCACCTGAAAGGTGGGGAATCAAGCTCAACACCAGGGTTCGCGTGTTGAGCTTGGACCCCTTTTCTCTGACAAGTTGAGAAGAGATCCAACTACTGGTATGCAACCTTTCCCAGCCATGAAGATCCAAGACTTGCGCGCGCCAGGGATCGAAGACTGTCGTGGGTCTTTTTCTGGATCTGCCCCCCCACACCTTGTGAAACCTTTTCGGGAAACCTGTATGGTCTTTGAGGACAATGCTACTGGGTCGAGCTGCCCACACACACAGTGTCGGAAGGCATAGTCCTAAGCGACTTCCAACTGCGGACGACATAGATGGTCCTGCCACCGGCAAGGCGGTGTTCCACATAAGGCAGCAGGCTGATAAGCTGCAGGTAGAAGCTGCGCTGCTCAGCAGTGAGACCAGTGATGCGGCTCAGTAGCAAGCTAAGTGGAGAGAGCTCCATGGCCGGTGGTTGTGGCGTCCCGCTCGGCATTGACGTGCTGCAGAATCTTCGATTTGCTCGCGGGATGGATCCCACGCTCCGCGCTCGATACGCCTGCGGGGTAGACCGTGGAGATGTCGTGGGAGTTGTGGCCGCAGTTTGGAAGTAGGTGGTGGATGTCGGGCTGCAACTCCAAGCCACCGCATCACCAACGGAAGGACCAGCCCCACAAAGAAAGGTGCCTCATCATAATCCTTGGAACCATTCCAGCTCCAAGCGAGCCAAGCCTCAGTGAAGTCACGGACAGTCTTGCTGTTCCGCAGGGACGCCTCCTTCAAGAAATCAGGAGTAAGACACCTGGCATAGCACGGAGTCATGTGGAACCACTTCTTGTTTCAAACTCAGGAGCAAACTCGCGGGCCAAACCTCCAAAAGCATATATCTCTCCTTGTTCCTATCTTTGACCGCGTGCGTGGCCTGGGCCCCAGAAGTAGGCTGTCAAGTTGTCATGGATGATGTCACCATGCTGGCCAACCAACTTAGATGCACTTGCTCAGAACCAACATGTGCCTAAAAGCAGCCTAAACAGAAAACATCCGTCAAGCATTCTCCCAAATATGTCCAAAAAGGTTTGAGTTGAATCTTTTGGCTCCAGGTGACATCATCATGGAGGCTACACAAAGCAAAGAAAAAGTGTCAGAAGATATGACAGAAAGAATGTCAAAGGATATGCCAGAGATAATGTCAGAAAGAATGTCACAAGATATGCCACGAAGAATGACTGTCAAACGACATGCCAAAAGAATGTCAGAAAATATGTCAGAAAGAATGATC